TTTTTTTTTTTTTAGTTTTATTCATTTCAAACGGGCCTGATCCGGCCCGTGGGCCGTAGTTTGCCCACGGCTGGTAACTCCTATTAAGCTGTAGTTCCTTGCTTCTGGCAATATTAATTCTTCATGGCAGTTTTTGCAATTACATATTTTTATGGTTTGTTAAAGATCCTTTTTAAACTTATGTTCCTATTCACTTAAAAAATGGCTTATTTTCATTTGATATAAAGTACTGTTAAGTAGCCTGGCTCTTAACTGGCAGTTAATAATCTACATTTCACAATGGCGGGATAATAACCCAGGTTTCAAAGTAAGATAATGGTTATTAATCCTGGCAGTATAATGAAACAGCTTTGTGGATATTATGATTGAAACATTTTTGGCTAGGAAAAAATATGATGTAAAAAAATTTCTTAGATTTGATATACCTATAAATCACTTTGTTAAAATGCAGATTCTATTTTAGTGGGTCTGGAGTGAGGTCCTACAGTCTGTGTTTCTTACAAGTTTCTGGGTTATACTACTGCCAGTGGTCTTAGACCCACAGTACAGAGAATTCACAGTTGAAACGTTATACTCATAGCATTTAAAAATATATGGTTTTTATCAAAAAACAACAGCATAGGTAATTTATCAATAGCTGGTCTAAGGAAAATAATTTATCAATAGCTGGTTCTGCCAAAACCGGTTTGGCTCAGTGGATAGAGCGTCGGCCTGCGGACTGAAAGGTCCCAGGTTCGATTCTGGTCAAGGGCATGTACCTGGGTTGCGGGCACATCCCCAGTAGGGAGTCTGCAGGAGGCAGCTGATCGATGTCTCTCTCTCATCGATGTTTCTAGCTCTCTATCTCTCTCCCTTCCTCTCTGTAAAAAATCAATAAAAAATATATTTAAAAAAAAATAGCTGGTTCTAGGTATACCATGGTCAGTATACCTAGAAATAACCATTGTTAGATATTTCCTTTTATTTATTTATTTATTTTTCCAATATATTTTATTGATTTTTCACAGAGAGGAAGGGAGAGAGACAGAGAGCTAGAAACATCGATGAGAGAGAAACATCGATCAGCTGCCTCCTGCACATCTCCCACCGGGGATGTGCCCGCAACCCAGGTACATGCCCTTGACCGGAATCGAACCTGGGACCCCTCAGTCCGCAAGCCGACGCTCTATCCACTGAGCCAAACCGGCTTCGGCAGATATTTCCTTTTAATAGAAAAAAAAATTATTTCTTAAAGATGAGGATCAGCCCCGCCCAGAGGTAGTTCAGTTGGTTAGAGCAGCGGTCGCTAACCTTTCGGACCTCACAGACCACCAGTGGTCCACAAACCACTGATGGGCGAATGTTGGGTTAGAACATCGTCCCAATACACCAAAGGTTGTGGGTTCAATCCTTAGCCAGGGCATATACAAGAATCAAAAATGAATGTATAAATAAATGGGAAAAATTAGTGTTTCTCTTCCCCCTTCTTCCTCTCCCAAATCAATCAATAAAAAATAAATAAAATAAGGATCATGGTATGTAGCTTGTTTAAAAACACTTATGAATTTTATTTCATTAAATATTTGTGAGATGTTCAGTGGTTGTATTGTAACTGAATTATACTTCATTGAATATTGAAGTTTCCAAATTTGAGCTACACTGAAGGGAGTATGTTGGTATCTATATATTTATATATACTTTACCTATTTAAGGTACATTTCTAGAAGTAAAATTATTCAATAAGGAATGATATTTAAATTTTATTAACACTAGTCTTTTTATTAAACTTTATTTCACCTGGAACTTGATGCTGAGCCCTTGCCAGCCTATTTGCTATTTTCTGCCTATTTTGTTTTTGTAATTTGCACTGATTCAAATGTTAAGTTAAACACTTGTTTTTCCACCATTGTTTATGCCTCTTGAACATTTTCGTTATGGAATATATCAAATTTTCAAGTATAAAGATGAACTTGTATCTATCCTGAATTAGTTTAGCTTGTTAGTTTTAAAATGATATACTTTTCCTACCTTTCCACATAGATAATGTGGTATGCCCATGTTTTTATTTTTACGACATATATTTCTTGGTTTATCTCCATGTAAATTGTTTAGTCATTTAATTGGCTGTCTAGTATTTCATTGTGTATGAACCTTAGTTTATCTAGTCCTGTTGAGTTGTTTAAGCTATTTCCGGTTCTTTGCTGTTAAAATATCACTATAAACAGTATCCATGTACATGTTTCTCTTTATAGATAGGTTTAGTTGGGTAAAGAGTGAAGTGTGGTTGCACCTTCTACCTTAGTAGATACTACCAAACTGCTCTCCCCAATACTATTCTTCATTGTAAACTAAGACAGAGTGTATTTTAGCAATGATCTTAGCAAGTTAATTTTTAAGTCTTGTTATAAACTGTAAATGATATATACTTCAGAGTGGTTTTGAAAATTAAGAGGTGGTTACATTTTACACCATAGTCATTTCCCATCCTGTTTTTCTCCAGAAACCCTGTGATGTGTCTGGTTTTGTTTTTTAAACTAGATTTAGTTTAATTGAAAGTACTTTATAAACTGACATTCAGATGAATGCTGTAAAAATACAAAATGCAGTGCTATTGTTAATCCATTGATTATTCTTTGATATTTTACTCTAACTCACTTTTTTTCTTCTTCTCATTTCAGGTGTTCTAAACCACTTTTCTTGAACCAGCAAATATTCAAAGAGAGCTAAATCTGAAGCCTGTACAAAAAGCTTACCCTATAACATGTGCCATACTCTACAGACTTCTGCTTTTGTCAGTCCTTAACATCTACCTCTCTGAATTTTCAATTATTTCTATTTCACAAGAATGATTATTTTATATACACTGGCAGCAGCATACAAATAAAATACTTAGTATAAAAAGTATTTTTGCCTAATTATTGGTAATACACTATGTATTAGTTTGTTTTGAACACCTAAATTAAATGGCAATTTTCCCAGTCATCATGGGCTGCTTTTAGCGTTTGTTCCACCAACTCTTCTCATATAACTTTATGCCATACATTTGCAAAACTGCTAGAAAAGCAAAGGTAAGTTGCACACTTCTTTTAAGAGTCAGGAGAAAGTTGCTAATACTAGTTTCTACTCATATGAGTTATTTACAGGGCTAGCTTTGTTTTAATAATAAATATTTCTAATAAACTCCTTTGTGGGTTTATTACCACTACACCTAAGTTATTTACTTTATCTCCTATCTCCTAATAAGGATAGTAAAGACTGGATGTAAGAATTCCATTAGAAGATATAAGAAAAACTTCAGAGCTTGAGACAATTCCTGAATGGAGTACTACAGTACAGAGTAATGATGTATAATGTAGTAAGAAAAAAGGAACCAAAGATTGGCTTCAATAATCTGCAACTTTGCTTTAAGTCCTTGGTAAACCATTTTGCTTAAAAATTTTTATCCTTCAGAAAGGCTTAAGGAAATGTTAAAACATCCCAGTGGTCTCCAATCATTCAGAAAACAGTTAAAAACTCTGTGCCACATCCAAGAGTCTGGTAGAAAACCAGTGGGTTGGTTACATTGTATCTACCGAGCACTGTATTTTCCTCTAGCCCACATGTACCACGAAAGTGTAGATGGTAGAGGGGCGGGGGAGGCCTAGAAGGGGTCAATAGGGAAAAAAGAGGACAAGTAATACTTTCAACAATAAAGATTAAAAGAGTGCATATGGGAAAGTTAGATTGAGTCTTGATTCCAACTTAAATTATTCAGTTACTAAAAATAAAAAATTTTAGGAAATCTAAATTGCAACCTAAACTCTCACCAAAATACTTTTATTTGTATTTCCTACAGAAACAGTGAGTGGTAATTCATGGCACTTGGTAATTTGTCCAGACACAAAATAAGGTATATGAAATCAGTAAATGCCATTTTGAAGAGTCTTCTGTTACAAATTCAAGATAGGCCCGTTCCGCAAAATCCAGTACTATTCCTTCAGTATTTTATAAGTGGAATTTTCTTCTACTTGTATCCATTTCCCGGGGCTGAAAATTAGGGAGTAAACAAAGTTAGCACACAGTCAATGGGTAACAATGCTAAAAACTGTCACTAAAGTATCAGTCTTCAGGTTTAATATAAAAGGTATTGGAAATTACAGTTCCAATAGATGTGTGTTAAACATACACAGTTTTAAAGTAAAAATCACACTTAAGTGAAATACTACTTACTAGATAGAAAATAGTTCTCAAGCAAGCACCAGAATCAGGGTAGCACAAGCTTATGAATAGGTTGCTGGGCCCAATTTAGTAAATCTATGGCCCAACAATTTTTCATCTTAAAAGTTTCTGGGTGATGCTTCTGGTCCTACTTTGAGAACCATTAATATTTAGGATACTTCAAATGAACCAGGATTAATCACCAGACCCAATTACCACATCAGAGAATGGTTCTTTTAGCTCATGATGGAAGACATTCAGAAGCATAACTTGAGGTAGAACAACCCAAAGCTTAAAAAGTACACGATTTCCTTCTCATTCCATACTTAAAAATCATCTAAATGGCTTTTCTAGAGTAAGCACATACCTTATGGACCCATTCATATTCACCATATTTAGAATCAAAGGTTCCTTTCTGAAGAGATCTTAATTTCAAGGTAAAACGTGGTCCAAGTTCCTGAATTCCCACTTTCTTTTCACTCTTGAATATGTATCTTCAAAGGTAAAGAAAAAAGTTGAGGAAATTAGTCCGCATTAACCCACCTGTTACTTCTTTAACATTTATGATGGTCGAAAAGAATATATTTCTCATCTATAATACCTGTCAAAATACATTAGAAAACAGGTTTATCTTGAACAGGTATTTCATGATTAAAAGTCCAAGGAGTTAAGGTACCTTCCTCACCTGTGAAATCTGAAGAAAATATAATCCCGTTGATTGTGGAATGTGGCAACCTGCCTTCCAATAAACTGAGGATTATGGGGAAAGAGAGATGCAAACATTCGTCCAACAGAATGACCCAGCCGTGTTGTAAAATTATTCAGAATTATTTCAGGTACGTGTTCTGTGGGGTCCTTGCCTCTTCTCTAGAAAAATCACAATTAAGTTTATTAGCAAAACTGTATCATTGCAATTTTAAGTTTTATAATCCCCATGACAAATAAGAGAAATTTTTCTCAATGACAACCACAAATGGCTTACTACACCCATGAAGTAAGATTATCTAAAAGTATTTTATATGCTGTGAATGCACCAAAAAGGAAGTTCTAGGAAAGTAACATTTCACAGTAATGAAAGTTATTGCCTGTCTGCCATAACTCAATTATGACAGTCTCACAAGAAACCTGCCAGTAGATAAAACTATTGCTTTAATTAGGAGAGCAAATGCCATTATTAAAATCAAGCAGCTGCTAAGTCCGTCTACTTAAAAGCAAAAACTATGAGGGGACCAATGCCAATCAAGGAATGCCTAAAACTTACCTTAATTTCTTTACGCAGGCGAACACTGCTCATTTTAAAATGAGCAGTTGGTCCATTTGGCAAGTGACTCAGAATTAATCCATCTGTTCATAAAGCTAAGAATATATTGAACTCGAATCTAAATCTTGAACTGTTTAAATAATTGATCCTCAAAGGCTCCTAAAATCTGTAGCGAGGTGAATAGGTGGGTGCATGCATTGCTCTGGGTTAACGGAGATTTTCTTACCAAGCCTCAATCTCAAGACATATAAATCAACCTAAATCTTTCAGAAAAATGGATTATCCTATTGTCCTACCTTTTCTCTTTTCACAATATGATAAATAGCTCATCAACCCCTTCTACAGGGTGTTTTGAGCATTCAACTAAAGTATGTGAAGCAACTAATGTCCACTACTCTAGCAGGAATGATAAGACAGGAATGGATTCTAGAGTAACTATAGCACTGTAAATAGAATATAAGTTTACCTCCATGTTAGAGGCCTTATAACCCTAAAAATGCACTTTTATATATTTGTATATACATTTTATGTTTGTAAGGTTAGGATATGCTGCCAGCTTTGAATTGATCATCCCACAAAACCAGAGACTCCTAAATTCTCTTCTCGATAGAAACAAGCTCTTATTCTTGTGATTACTGTACCACAAATTAAACTTATTAATAGCCATTTACTAATTGTCTGCCATGAATGAAATATAAGACACCTACCTACCTAGCAGGGTTGGCAGCCCAAGGGCTTTAAAAGTCCTTGATGCAGCAAATTAAGATTACTACCTATACCAGTGATGGCGAACCTTTTGAGCTTGGCGTGTCAGCATTTTGAAAAACCCTAACTTAACTTTGGTGCCATGTCACATATAGAAATTTTTTGATATTTGCAACCATAGTAAAACAAAGATTTACATTTTTGATATTTATTTTATATATTTAAATGCCATTTAACAAAGAAAAATCAACCAAAAAAATGAGTTCGCGTGTCACCTGACACGCGTGTCATAGGTTCGCCATCACTGACCTATACAATATTCCTCAAGTGGTTATAGCACAACCTGATTCTTTGAAATGCTGAACCTTAAAAGATGAGAATCTGATTGTTTTCAAATATTTGTACATAATATTAGTTTTACAAAACATACTGTCTGCTTTATAATGGGATCAACACTCCTATTCATCCAGAGTAGAAGCTATGGTTATCTTGAATTTCCTCCTCTCCCACTAAATCCTACTGTTTACATAAGTTCCTCACTTCTACATTTCTCCCTTACTATTACTGTCTTAGTTGATGTCTTTGAAATTTCCCACCTAGATTATTAAAACAGTAGCCTGGTTGGTATGACCGCTCCAACAGTTTAAGTACATCTTCTAATACAGACTGTAAATCAAATCTGGACTTAGGCCTTGGTTATAAAACCAAGTAACAAGCTATGGGGCTTAGCTGTGTCACTATCTGCACCAGTTCCTCAGATGCTAAGTGAAAAAAACAAACTCGATACCTTGATTCTTGACAGCTACAGCTAATTTCAAGCCACTCTTATCAGCCTCATCTACAGAACAGAACATTGGTCTGACACTCAATGTGGTTCCAAGCTACCTTTCTAACCTGTCTCCTCATGGTGTTTCCTAACTGGTAGGCAGTGATACAATCTCTTACACACCAAACATATTGACCGTTTTTTTTCTTTTACTCATGCTATTTCAAATAGCTTCAATAGTTTACTCATCCAATAATGCCCAATTCAAATGCCACCTCATTTTACGTAGTCAAAATTAAGATCTATATCTCAGTTCTCACTGTTACTTACTATAGCACTTGTCACTTAAAATTGAGTTATAGTCACTAAATGCCTTTCTTCCCATCTAATCCATCAGCTCTTGAAAGATCTGTTTCTGACAGATACTAGTGCCTACCACATAGCAGATTATTAGTAAATGTTTGAATTCTTCTTTTCAAAGGTTCACCACAGGTTCAACTTCATGATGCACAGTCAACAGTATTTCTGTATCATTTGCACATTGAAAAAATTAATCAAATCTTATAAGGGGGTTAAGAGAGGTAACAAGTCATTTCTTGCAAATTAAATCAGGGCTTGAATCCGTTCTAGAACATTCCTACTAAATGTCATTTGTGTCAGAAGCAAACTACAAAATTTAAACTTATTAATTGCTGTACAAAAATTTATGTTACTGCTAATCTCTAACATCAACCATGCAAAATAGAAGCCCTTCCTTAAAAAACAAAGGATACTTGGTGTTTTACGATCTTCATTAATAACGATCAGATCTGTGAAATCTCTTGAGATGCACTGTGGAATAATTCTTTTCAGAGCCAGTCCTCTTCTGTAATAAACATGTGAGTTTGGTATAACTGTGGAAAGCTGTTCACAGAGTCGTACTGTTCTCTGTAAAACAAAATAACAAAAATCCTCAAAAATGAAAATAATAAAAATCTTATGTGATATATATTTATCAGGAAAGGCATAATGATTATTATAAGACAATGTTATAATAGAGACCAATGCTAGGACAAGAATGAAATCTGAACAGTTCCATCCTTTACCAAAGGCTGATCATCCTAAAGCAGTGGTTCTCAATTGGGGGTGATTCTGTTCCACCAGGGAACCTTTGGCAATGTCTGGAAACATTTTTGGTGATTATGACTGGGGGTGGGGGACGGCTGGTACTGGTGGTATCTAGTGGATAGAGGCTAAGGACGCAACCAAGTATCTATAATGAGCAGGACAACCCCCATAACAAAAAATTATACATCCCCAAATGTTAACAATGTTGAGGTTGAAAAACCCTATCCTGAAGAATCAGGTTTAGAAAACAAGTCATTTCTTGCAAATTATCAAGTCATTTCTTACTCTGTATTACCAATATTAAATTTTACTGAGCTTATTCATAGGCATCATCTAAGGCAATCTCTAACTCTTCTGAACGGAGTTCCTTTAAATAGTCAAAGTAATAAAAGAAAATTAGGAATTTAAGAACTATACTAATTAATGTATTTATTACCCCATGAGGTCTATCTGATGTTGTAATGAGAATCTTGGGAGAAGTTTGTCTGTTGAAATAAGAAGCAAATTCATCTGTAGCTTCATCATAAGCAACCTAAGAACAGAAAAACAAGTTAACAAAGTCACTGATCTGGCTTTCCCTTTCCCCATACTTTCTTATGACCTCTTCTACAACTCTCCCCCATTGCTCACTTAATTTCAGCATGCTAGCTTCTTTGCTTTTCTTCAAAAAACATGCTAAGCATGCTCCTGCTTTACAGCTTTTGCACAGGCTGTTTCCCCATCCTGAAGTACTTTTCACCCAAAGATGGCTAATCTCTTTATATCCTTCAAGTCTTTGCTAAAAGTCATCTCAATGAAACCTACCCTGACCGCTGTATATGAAACTGCAACTCAAGCCAACAGAAAAATGGGCATGAGACATGAACAAATAATTTGCATTGATTGATCCCAGGTCCCTAAAACAAATCTCAATACACAGTAGGAAATTATTAAAACATTTGGTGGAAGACTGACTAAATGAATGAATATTAGGAGATATGTAAAAGAACTATGATAAAAAGCATTGTTTAAAAGCAAACATAACAAAATTTTAAAAATATATACAACATTTTAAAAACCTTGATTCTCTGACTATACTACTGCAAATTTTTTAAAGGAAAAATGTGAAAAGTAGATTTTTTTAAAACCAAGAGGTTTTATAAGGACACAAAAAATACCATCAAATATTATCCTTAATTTTCAAAATGTTTAACAGGTGCTACAAAATTCTACAGTATGAGAAATACTTTTCAAATGATATATAAAAAAGAAGTATTATACAGAGATTAAATGACAAAAGGTATAAAACATAATAAATTTCTAGAAAATAAATCACTGCCTCTTTCTATGCAATTACTGGGAAATTTAATTATTAAACAATTGATAGCAAATAAGATAATGTGCCAACATTATAGCTGAATCAGTCCATTATACGAATTCACCAGATAGTAATTTAAATTAAATGTCAACATATGAACAGATAATTTATCAAGTGTGGCCATCCAAATTTATTTAAGACTTTTAATGTTACCTCTTCATCATTAGGGTCTACTGTGGTTTCATCATATACACGCTGGTTGTCAATGGTCTTGGGTATAGGCTTTGGTGGAGCCTAAATAAAAGAAAAAAGATTAAGCTGTAGAAGCATTTTTGCATAAATAATTTTTCATTACAGTTGGGAATAACAGAAATTTATAAACAATCCAAAACACAATCTGTTCCTCATTTCAACCCACTGCTACATCAATCCTAACAACAATACTGAGTAAAAGGTTTTTTAATTCTCTGAGCAGAAACACACACGTACTAAAAGAATTGCCAACATTGGATGAAATGGCTTAAAAACAGACAGAAGTAGCAGAGAGAAAAATATTGGTCAAAATAACTATCCACTAAAAATAAAAGTTATCAAACAAAATGGAAAAAAATTAAAAAGTACATATACATGTAGCTTTGTCCCAATATTTCAAAAAAGCTATTCAGAATATATATAACAAAAGCTACAAATCTATCTGCTGAACTAGTAGTTCTAGAATGGGAGATTTATGGTAAGGAATGAAAGGGGGGAGCAATTTACACAAAGAAAGATGTAGTATTACTATTTTTTTTTTTTTAGTTTCATATATATTTTTTTAATGATTAAGGTATTACATGTGTCCTTATCCCCCCACTCCCGTTCTTGCCCTCACCCCCTTGGTGTCTATGTCCAATGGTTATGCTTATATGCATGCATACAAGTCCTTTAATAGAAATGAACAGTGAATAGATAGGACAAAGGTCCAACAACATAATGGAATACTATTAGAATCAGCTATCATGCATACTCAGCTTAGATAAAAAACTGTAAATAAAATGGTATGGATCAGGAATACAGAACTGTAACATACACTAACTAAAATGAATTCAAAGTATATGTACACTAGCAGAGATAGAAGCAGCATGAGTTGATGACCATTTAGGATTTTATTTTTATTATTCTATGAAACAAATATTAAGTTTTAAATCATTTTTTGAAGGAGGCAGTTCTAGGAAGTCATCTTTCAGTACAAAAAAACAGAATGGTGATATTTTCAAATAGTGATCAGCATATTAATTTGCTATAATTGATTATTGAGAGCTAAAAAGAGACTAATATTGCTTGATAGAATTTTGCAGGTCAGAAAAGTCTAATATTGGCAACTTCATGTTATTTAATCTAATACTATTAAGAGAATGCATGAAAAAGCAGAATGTTTCAGTCTTTTTTATTTTTCCCTTCTTCAAAAACACTTATCCTTTCTTGTACCTCTTCTTAAGAGATGGGAAGGGGGAAGAGTTGTACGTTTTTAAAAATTTGCAAGTATAAATTATAACCTAGAACAAACTATAAATGAAATGAAACCAAATGAAAATAACTTATCTGTGCAATAATGTGGAAGTATTTAGTAGTTCTTTTTAAAATTTTCAATAGAAAGATTTCACTTATGATCATTATCACAAAAATAGCCAAATGCTTTCTTGATGTATTAACTCTGCTCTCTTCTTTGCTATAACCCATCTGGGTATATCATCTTCCTTCCATCCCCGCTTCTCACTCTTCTCAGATTCATATCATGTGACAGCTCTCATTCTTATTCACCCAATCCTTTAACAGAAGAGTGTTTGTCTGACAAAGAACCTTTGCTTCAAATCTCAAGAGCTCCAGCTCTAAATTAGGGAGCTTCCCCCATTCCCAAAGTCAAGGAGATGTGTATGTCTCTACTTCTCAAACACATAAAGTAAAATAAGCAAGTCAAAATATGCATAACATTTATGTTAAAATTTTAAAACATTCAAAACATCACCACTGTGCTTGTTTGGGAACACAAACATACATAGTAAAAGTAATAAAGAAGTGCATGGGAACAATAAACAGCGATTTCGTGAGTGGTTATCTGAGGAGGAAAAAGCAATCAGAAACACACAAGGGACTTGGAACATTATTTGCTAATGCATTATTTCTTAAGCTGCGTAAAGGGTAAAAAGGAGTTTGCTATATTATTTTTATACACTTGAAATACTTCAAAATAAATTTTAAAAGAAAGTCATTCAACATAAGTATCAGGGAGCATTCCTTCTTAAGATAGAAAACAGATGGCTAAAAATTTTCTTTACCTTATCACCAAGAGCCTCTCTCTCTTTTTTAAGTTTTTTCTTAGCTGCCAACTTTTCCTAAAAGGTTAAAAAAAAAAAAAAAAGAATGAGAGATCATTAGTTAGATCACAAACACACTGAAACTACAAATTACTAATGCTAAGAATACTTACACTGAGTAATCTTTAATCTTCCTAATTTATTAAAATTAAAATGTTGACATAGATTTTCATACCTAAGTTACTGTAAAACAAGTGAACTGAACAATCAATACGATTTTTGTAACAATGATTTTGCTTCTTAAAAAACAAAATCCAAGTTGACCAACTTTTTTTTCTGCATTTCTAACAAGTTGCATCCTAATGAAAAACATGGCTATGCTGGCTGTTTCTCTAGGAAAGTACTAAAAATAAATGGGAATGGGAGATTTGTTTTCAGGTTGCTTCCCATAAAAGTACAAATAGCTATCCATATATTTTATAATCAAAATATGCTTTTAAACTTATTAAGTACTTGCAAGTTAAGATTGTTTGTACTGTGAATGTGTATCTTTTGGAGATTTCTGAACAGAATGCTTAACTGACAATAGAAAATACGCCCCCTCTCCCCGCAGAGTTTATTAAGCCTCAATGTATCAGGTCTCAGAAGTCTTCTAGAATACCCTTCTCCCACACCACAATGGTTTAGATGCTCCTTCTATGTACTCCAATAGCACGTTAGCACTTAAGGCTCAGTCCAAGGCTTCAAGAAATCTAATAAGAGGAGGCAGGCACATATAAAGAGTATTATGTGTGTGAACTTTTATGATGTGCAAGAATAAGCAAACGCTTGCTTTCAACGGATATTTAACCACAAATGAGCACTGTGACCTTAGGCTTTATCGGCTTATCTCCCCATACTTGTTTACCTCACAGAACAGTATGAAGAAAGCTGTATGGAGCAATGGTTCTCAACCTTCTGGCCCTTTAAATACAGTTCCTCATGTTGTGATCCAACCACAAAATCATTTTCATTGCTACTTCATAACTGTAATGTTGCTACTGTTATGAATTGTAATGTAAATATCTGATATGCAGGATGGTCTTAGGCGACCCCTGTGAAAGGGTCGTTCGACCGCCAAAGGGGTCGCACCCACAGGTTGAGAACCACTGGTATGGAGGGACCTGGAGAATATGATGCTAAGCCAGTCAGAGGAAGACAAGTATCAAATGATCTGACTCATATGTGGAATCTAATGAACAAAATAAACTGATGAACAAAACAGATCCAGAGACACAGAAGCATGGAACAGACTGTCGAATCTCAGAGGGAAGGCAGGGAAGGGTGTGTGTGTGGGAAAAGATCAACCACTAGAAGAGGATGTGGGGGTGGGGGGAATGGGAACATATGTAATACTGTCAACAATAAAGATTTAAGACAAAAAAGGAAATATCAAAATAAAAAAGAGTAATAAAATTACTAGAAACTTTACAGTACTAATTTCAGTAAGAGTCGCTGCAGTAATCAGAGAAGCATCACTCTGAGTTTATGCATTGTCTGGATTAGGTTTTAGGTATTAACCACCCGGAGGTGAAGGTGGACGGGACCGCGCGGAGAGGGAGCCTTTTGCCTCCCAGGTCGGGAGGGAGTACTTTTCACTAGTGGGAGAGCAGGGTTTCTTGCTTTCATTCTCAGCCACGAACCCTAGCCAGGAGCTGGTAAAAAAGGGAAACCGGGCGGCTCCGGCAAAAAGCCGGACGAGACGATCGGGAGCCCCGCCCAACCCTCCGGCTGGGATCCCTGGGAGGGGAGACCACGCAAGCGCAACACGCCCACCCGCACCGCCCTCTCCCGCGCGCCGAGGACACTGCGCATGCGCCCTGCCGCCTCCGCCCCTCTCCTACCTTCCGCTGCTGCTGCTTCCACCGCGTGAACATTAAGTGTCGCCGCTGTTTGTTCTTAATCTCGGAAATGCTGAAGCCTGGAGGGAAGGCAGACGCTTTCGGGGCTTGGCCCCCGCTTTCCGTCGCCCCATCCTCACCGACTGCAGCCTCCTGAGGTTCTTCGGCAGCGCTCTTGCGCTTCAGGCCTTTCTTTCGGCTGCCGCCGGTCTTCTCCATGGTGTTGGCTCCTTGGCGTCCGTACGGAAACGGAAATGGCTTCCTCCTCCGACCCTCTTAGGCTTTTACTTCCGGGGCGGGAAGTTCTTAAAAATGTAGAGTGCCGGCGGCGGAGCATTTAAACTTTTAAGAAGGTGCTGAAATTTAGGTTTGAAAAAAGTTAATGGGGTTGCCAAGCTGTATGGACAGTGGAATTCTTTATTGAACGTTTTCTATGTTCAAGCCCTCAAAACATTAAAACAAAATCTTTTCAGTAGAGATTTTACATTTTACTAGAGAGATCTAACATGAGCTTACAGAAATGATGAATTCGTGGAATTCTTTATTGAACGTTTTCTATGTTCAAGACCTCAAAACATTAAAACAAAATCTTTTCAGTAGAGAATTTACATTTTACTAGAGAGATCTAACATGAGCTTACAGGTATATAATGTGGTGAGCTATAAAGTAAATAATACACGGTGTGAAAAAAAAAATAGAACAGGATAAAGAAGATGAAGGGTAGAAAGGCATGTTGCAGCTTTTAAATAGGAAATCATAGTCCCTGACTGCGAACGTAGCTCAGTTTGGAGCGTGGTCCCCATGTGCGAAGGTTTTGGTTGATCCCCGGTCAGGAGCAAAGATTTGAAGGAGATAATGGGGTAAACTGTGGCGTTATCTGGGGGAAGAGCTGCAAACCTGAGAAAAGCTGTCCAGGCAAAGGAAGCACACAGTTGCAAGGCGCAGTCAGTAGCAAGCCTGGCATGTTTGGGAAGAACCATGGAGGCCAGGAGTCAAATGGGAGGAGGGGGTTAAGAGTGAGAGATTGTGTAGGTTTTTTGTTTTTTGTTTTTTGGTTTTTTTTGCTTTGGTTTTTATTTTATGTGACATGCAGATCTCTTGGAGGATTTGAGAAAAAGAGTAACATGACCTGACTCCGATTTTAAAGGCATTGCTCAGACTCTCCTTTTGAGAATAGACTTAAGGGGAGAGAAAGTGAAAGGAGGGAAGAAATGACAGTGTCTTGAACCAGGGTGGTGCGAATGGAGGTGGTGAGAAGTGGTCAGATTCGTTTGAAAGTTCCTGATGATTGAATGAAGGACATGAGAGAAAGAGAAGAGTCAGGGTGACTCCAAGACTTTTGAACTGAGCGACTGGAAGGATGGAGTCACATCAGTTAAGATGTGAGAGACTACTGGTGGAGCAAATTTGAAGAGTAAAATCATGATTTCAATTCTGGAAATGTTAAGGATGAGACACCTAGTTATGATTGCTGTTCTCAAGTACTCAATTGGGATGTATGATTCTGCAGCAAGAGAGAGAGGTATGGACTAGAGATCAAAATTTGGGAGTCATCAGCATACAGGTAGTGTTTCAAGCCATGATAGTGAATGTAGCTAGAGAACTGAAAAGGAGAAGAGGATGGAGGACTGAACCCTGAAGGAGTCCCACCTGAAGTGTTAGAAAGAAAAGAAGAATCCAATAAAAGAGAAAGACAGTAGAGAGCCATGGAAGCCAAGTAAAGTGTTTCCCTAATGGTTAATTTTCTTTTATTCCTCATTTCAGTTTTATGAAAATGTCCTTCAAACAGAGACAAAAGACTTCCTTTTGATTGACTATTAGGAGTTAATTTTCCAGAAATTGCCTTAATTTCAAATTATATGTTTCACTATTGACACTGTTTGATAATCCAGGTCACTGCTGGCAGTACTCATAATGCCATGCAGAAGGTGGAGTAAGAGGTCTAAGAGAGTGAGGAGTTATGGGTGATGAAGGCTACTTATTGATGTACACAACCCAGTGCTATTTCTTAGGCTAAACTATCTCCCTGTTACCTTTTATTTGTGGACCCCTGAAGGTTGGCTTTACTTTTTTTTATTATTATTATTACTAGAAGCCTGGTGCACAGATTTGTGCACTGGTGGGGTCCCTCACAGTCTGGGACCCCTCGGGGATGAGGTCTAAGCCTGAAGTTAGAAATCCCTCTTGCAGTCAGGGGCTTTTGCAGTCTGGGACCCCTCGCTCCTTACCGCCCGCCTGCAGCAGAGGCAGGAGAGGTTCCCGCCACTGCTGCTGTACTTGCCAGCGGCCTTCACCCTGTGGGAGCCCACTGACCACCAGGGGGCAGCTCCTGCATTGAAAGTCTGCCCTTAGTGGTCAGTGCATGTCATAGCGACCGGATGTTCCGCCATTCGATCGATTTGCACATTAGGGTTAAATTATATAGGATGCTCTCATATATATTAAAAAACCTCTAACAATGATGGTAGAGCTTGTATTGATAATAATCATTATCTTTAAGCCAGCGGTTCTCAACCTGTGGGTCGCGACCCCTTTGGCAGTCAAACGACCCTTTCACAGGGTCACCTAAGACCATCCTGCATATCAGATATTTACATTACAATGCATAATGGTAGCAACATTACAGTTATGAAGGAGCAATGAAAATAATTTTATGGTTGGGTCACAACATGCGGAACTGTATTTAAAGGGCCAGAAGGTTGAGAACCACTGCTTTAGGCAAGTAAAAGAGAGATTAACGGAAGCTTCTGATCTAGATTGAAGAGTAGGTAAAAGCTGTATTTGCCTACTCCCACAACCACTTCAAAATTACAACTAAACTACAGAACAACCATCATTGAGAGCCTCCTCAAGTATAGCTGAACAGAAGTCCAATAAACTAAGGATATACAGAAGAAGCCATGCCGAGACTTATAAGAGGGGTGGAAGGTAGAATGGGCTGCTCCCATACCCACATGTGGTGGTTAAAAACACAGAGTCATACATATTTTGGCTACAGAGGTTCCCCTCTGTGGAGCAAGAGGTCCCAGTCCCATACAAGGCTCTCAGCCCAAGGTTCCAGTGCCAGGAAGAGAGATTCTCATAACTTCTAGCTGTAAAAACAAGCAGGGATTGTGGCTGAGAGAGGTGGATTGCTGCTGGAGTTCCAGACATTCCTCTTAAATGGCCTATGCATGGACTTACTCAGACTCACTTATGCTGAGCTGCTGTGCTGGGCAGCAGGTCAAAAGGTGCCAAGGGCCCTTGCTGGTTTTGTACAATGGTTAGAGTGTCAGCATGTGGACCGAAGGGTTGTGGGTTTGATTCCTGGTCAGGGGCATGTACCTCGATTGCAAGCTTGATCCTGAAGGCAACCAATCAGTGTGCCTCTCTTACATCAATGTTTCTCTCCCCACTCTCCCTTCCACTCTCTCTAAAAATAAATGGAAAAAAATCCTTGGGCGAGGATTAAAAAAAATGGTACCAAGGTCACACAGGGAGGAACTGAATTATCTGGCTTCTTTCTTTTCCAGATCACTGATTTGATTCTAAGCTTCATCTACTCTATTGTTGATTCCCTATAAATTTTTCTTCCTTTCAGTTAGTGTATCTTTCATTTCTGATTAGTCCTGTTTTATGCTGTTGAGGTTCTCAATAAGTTCATTGAGTATTTTTATCACCAGTGTTTTGACCTCTACATCTAGTAGATTGCTTGTCTTCATTTTGTTTAGTTATTTTTCTGGAGTTTTGTTTTGTTCTTTCATTTGGGACATGTTTCTTTGTCTCCTCGTTTTGGCAGCCTTCCTGTGTTTGTTTCTATGAATTAAGTAGAGCTGCTGTTTCCTGGGCTTGGTAGAGTGGCCTTATGTAGTAGGTGTTCTGTAGGGTCTAATGGCACAGCCTCCCTGATCACTGAAGCTGGGCACTCAAGGTGTAACTCCCCCTGCTCCCCATATGGGCTGTGTATACCTTCTTATTGTAGTTGAGCCTTGACTGCTTTGACATGTCAATGGGAGGGAATTACGTCCAGGCCAATCAGCTGCAAGGACTGGCTGCAACCATTGACCACTGGTATCTGACCATCATGGAGGAACAGCTCTGCAGGAGTCCACCCCACAGAGCAGTACTTACTTAAGCAGGGCTCTGGTGCCTGCTGAGTCTGCCCCTTGAGTGTGTTGTTTGTGGAGGCGGTTGGGTGGTGATGCTTCTCCATGTTCTGATGCTGTCTCCTGGGTGCACTGGCTCTGGGGCTTCCCAGAAGGTGCAGGCCAAGGTCAGCTGCCACTTGTGTTCTACCTGGGCCCACCTAGCATGAGCTATAAAGTGATTTGCTCATGGCTGCTTATTGTGCTGAGCTTGGAGGTGCCCTGGCAAGGCCATGCTGCAAACTAAGACTGGCTGCTGCTAGTGCTGTGTCTAGGGTCACTTAGTGAGAGGTACAGGGCATGTTGAGACCAGATGCTGCTTGTTTGATATATTTTAGGAAAGTCTGAAGCATGAGTCAAGCCAGGCCATTCAGATGGATAAACCACTAAAACAGCCTTGGGTGGGCTTGAAAGTTGGCTGGAAGGGCAGAATTCTCCCAGACAGAAATGCTGGCAGAAGCCATTGTTCCTTTGCTGAACCCTACCTCTGTAGGGTCAGGTAGGCACTGTATCTGATCTCCATCAACTTGGCTAACACTGTTGGTCCATCCCTGGTTAATCCCCATGACCCTGCCCCACTCAAGCAGCTTCCGGTGGCTTTTCCATACAAAGGGCTTACCTTGGCTCATGCTGTGGAATTTTCTAAAATCTATCAAAGGTTCACAAACTTCAAACAAGAAGCATTTGGCTTTGGGACACCTCATACCTCTTGCTAAGCAGTCCCAACTCCTGGCAGCCTGCCTCAGTTTACAGCGTGATCTCTTCTGGGTACCTCCAAGCCCACTACAAGTACCAACCATCTGCATATCATTTTGTAGCTCATACCAGGTGGCCCTGATTTGGGCACAGGCATCAGCTGACCTAGGCCTGCATTTTCTTCCAGGAGGCCCCTGAGGCAGTGTACCTAGTGGACATCTTCAGACCACATTGAAGCACCAGCCAACCTCTCCCACAAGAGACACACTCAAGGGGTGGACTCAGCAGGCACCAGAGACCTTCTGAAGTAAGTCCTGCTCCTGTTCCATAGGGTGGGTCCCTGCACAATTGATCCTCTACAGTGGTTGAAGCCAATCCTCTCAGCTAGTTGGCCTAGGGGTAAATCTCTCCCCTTGAGGTGCCAAGAGCAATCAAGGCTCAACAACAATAGGGGGTGTGCACAACCCACATTGGGGGAGGGGGGCACATCTTGAGTGCTCAGCTTGGGTGATCAAGGAGGCTGTGCCACTGGACGCTACAAAACACCTACTACATTAGGCCACTCTACCAAGCCTGGGAGACGTAGCAGCTCTACCTAATACATAGAAAAACAAACACAGGAAGGCTGCCAAAAGAAGAAGAGTGCTGGCCAGGTGGCTCAGTTGGTTGTAGCATTATCCCATACACCAAAAGATTGCAGGTTCAATTCCTGGTCAGGCCACATACCTAGATTGCCGGTTTGATCCCTGATTGGGGTGTGTATAGGAGGCAACTGATCGATGTTTCTCATTGATGTTTCTCTCCCTTCCTCTGTGAAATCAATAAAAATATATTTAAATATATTAAAATGAATAAATAAATAAGTAAATAATAAATAAATAAACAAATAAATAAAATAAGCAAACAAGATGGAAACAAATTCCTAAATACAGAGTTAGGCAGTTGTCGGATGGGAGGGGGTTTGGGAGGATGGGTGAAAAAGGGGAAGGGATTAAGAAGTACACATTGGTAATTACAAAATAGTCATGGGCATGTAAAATATCGCATAGGGAATATACTCAACAATATTGTAATAACTATGGCCCCAGTGTCCAAAATTTAGTTAATAGTAATGTACCAATATTGGTTCTTAGTTTTGAAAAATGTATTATGGTAATGTAAAATGTTTACATTAACTGAAATTGGATGAGGGTATATAGAAACTCTCTGTATTATTTCTGCAACATTTCCATAAATCTGAAATTATTCTAGAAGAAAAATTTCTTTTAAAAAAATCTCTTTCTGATCCTCACTTAACAAACTATTTGAATTATTTTTAGGTAAAAGAAATTAAGCTACTAACTGTCAAAAAACACATTTTCTAAATATCTAGAACAGGCATTTACTGTCTATTCCTTGAACTTATATGTACAGAGTTTTTACTTGAGTACTTTGCACTTGATGATATGTTATTTTAATAACAATCCTCAAATAATTTCATGGATGACTGATCTCATCCACCTCCGCCCTCCTCCAGAGCACTTAATGCAGTGTGCTGCAGGAAGTAGGCAATTCAGAGCTTGGATTTCTCTGACTAACCAACTGACTCAATGTGCTACCTGTAATTATATTTTAAAATTTATTCCGAGCAGTTCTAGGAATTCAAGGGGATAAAGTCAAAATCAACTAACTATTCAACTTAAGTTTGCATAAATTGTCTAGAGTGAATAGACTTCATCAAAACTTGTCAAAATGCAGAATTTGTCAGTGGAAACCAGAATATCAAAATTTTTAATCATCCATATGAAATACACTCGAGGCTGAAGGTGAATAGTTCATGGTGAAGTTAACATTTCTAAAATAAATTTTGGGCTGAAAGGAAAGTTATCAGTCTTATTTCTTTCATGCTTTCTGTTTTATTGTATTTTGTTTTTTAAAGTACTTAAGGATAACACGTTATCTTGCTCTGGCTATAGATATATGTTGAGAAATTCTGAAAAAGGCCTGTAATAGAAGAAACTATTTATCTCCCTTATCTTTTTTGGTAATATGTATGTAAACTAAAGCCAAAACTACTTTAAAATACCAAGACTTATGATACATATAACATTAGAGATTCTCAAAGTCTTTCCAATGTATCATCTGAATCCTTCTAAAATTTTTTATTTATAAAATAAATAAAATTTATTTATAAAAATAAAAGTTTATAAAAATTTTTTAATAAATAAACTAGAGGCCCAGTGCACGAATTCGTGCACGGGTAGGGTCCCTCAGCCTGGCTAGCAATCGGGGCCAATTGAGGCCATCTCACCCAGTCCTGATCGGGGTGATGGGGGCTGGTCGGTCGGGGAGGGACCATGGGAGGGACCATGGGAGGGCTCCAGGGTGTGTCCAGCCCTCTTGCCCAGTCCCAATTGGTCAGACCCCAGCAGCAAGCTAACCTACCGGTCAGAGCATCTGCCCCTTGGTGGTCAGACACTTAGCATATTACACTTTTATTATATAGGATGCAAGGCAGGAATGATCCCGACTTTTCCAGTGGGAAAATAAAAATTTGAAGAGTTTAAAAACAGCACCCAGATAAACCAAGAATCATAATTCTTAGGCCAAAGCTCTTTCAACTAATCATGTGTCATGTACTTAGATTCATATTATTTAGAATGAATTGTTAAGTGAACAATCCCATACATCTGCATATACTCATTTTCTTTTCTTGATTCTGCAATGAATGTTCAGGAACAAAGCACTTGATGAAGTGCAATGTGGATCCCTTAAAAGAGGCAGATGCATGAAGTTTGGAGAAGTAAATGTAAGAGCAATATTTTTCATTTAACCATTTCAACCCATGTTTCTATTTCAGAGATGGTAGAGGTTAATGCAATTTTGGCAAAATAAGTTTAAGTAAAAAATATGTATATTTGATGCATTGTTTTCCATATATATAATTAAACTATGCTGATTTAACTCAGGGGCTCACAATTATAGGAAGTGGGAAAGAATTATCTTTATGATTTCCTGAAGTGAGGTACTAAATTGAAAATTATTTGGTTGACACAATTACAAAATTATTGGTCATAGGCCAGGGAGAATTTTGATTTTTCTTCCAGGTTTCTCTCTCAGGAATAAAATAGTTTTCAAATATTTGGACTAGATTTCACATTGAAATCATTCATAGGGAGATTTCATATTGGGCTGCCATTTGAATTACTAGGACACTGTGCCTCTAGCCTTATACAAAATGAAGATGTACCTAATGTACTTTACATAGCTGATAAAAGATACTATTTCATATTTTATCTAAAACTAGCATAAACATCTTAGCATTTGTTGAGAAACTAACATCTAGCATAGAGTGGTCAGGGTTTGATATTCTAGATAAGGAAACACAGTGTGTTATATACAGAGGAACATTGTATTGTCATATCACACATTTAAATAGGAGTCATGGTATTTATCCATAGGCATCTTCACTAAAAATGGAAGTCTCCCTAAACTTGGAAATGTACTTAATGAGTATAACACATTTGTCCATATACACTATTAAGTAAGATGATTCCATTACTTATTCATTTATTCTAGAAATATTTCTGAACCCTCACAATCAAGCATGGCATTGTGAGGAAGCCAAAGAACAAAACACAACATAAGGCCCCTTTCTGCAAGGACTTTAAAATATAATGAAGAATCAGAACATACAACATAAAATCTTATACCTCAATTCAGGCATTAAATAGCACTGGAAAAGAACTGTAGAAGTTAGAAGATTATATCTATCAATAAGTACTGTGGTATTAAATAAAAAGGGAGCCCTGGTTTTGGGAAGTAATGTATTTTAATGGTTAGGAACATAGGTCTGATTTTTAAAATCTTTATAGTACACTAGTGGCCACTGCATGAAATTCGTGCGGGGGGGGGGGCGGTGGCGGGGGGGGTGGGGAGGGTGTCCCTCAGCCCGGTCTGCACCCTCTTCGATCTGGGACCCCTGGGTGGATGTCTGACTGCTGGTTTAGGGGACATCCCTCTAACAATCCAGGACCACTGGCTCCTAAACACTTGCCTGCCTGCCTGACTGCCTGATAGCCCCTAACTGCCTCTGCCTGCCAGCCAGATCGCCCCCTAACTGCTCCCCTGCCAGTCTGATTGCCCCCAACTACCCTCCCCTGCTGACCCGATCGCCTTCAAGGCTTTTATTAGTATAGATATAACCCTTCAGAGAAAATTTCACTAACCCTGCTTTACAATAAGGGTTTGACGATTGAATCACTGGGGCCAGACACCAAGATTTCCTTTCTTTGAATAGTGGAGGGAATAATTATCTTGTCTTTAAGTTGCCCTGAACATCAAATGAGATAATGACATAGAAAAATATAAAACCACCATATAAAGACAACTATCTTTTATATGTACTGGAAAGACAATAAAGCGGTAAAATGAAAAACACTTTTTATTCTCCCCCTTTCTTCCTTTACAGCCTTTATTTGAACTTTGAAATTTATAAAAATTTCACTCCTATTTTCATTTCTTTACATTCAATATTATTTTGTATTATTTTCAGGTTTTATATTAGTTACAGAATAGTGGTTAGGCAATCATATACTTTACAAAGTGTTCCCTGATATTTCCAGTACCACCTGGCATCATACCATCATTACAACACTGTTGACTCTATTCCCTATTTAAGTGACAATACGTTTACAGGTTCCTTCCAATCTTTGTTTTGTGTTGCTCGCCCTTCCTTTTCTTTCTCACTTCTTCCCTCATTTTCTGTATATAGTATCTCAATTGGCCCTCAAAGCTCAGCGAAGGCACTGGGACACGCTTAATCCATTTTACAGAGCAGAAAACTGAGGCCAATTCCAGTTGGCTGCGGAACTTGACTCAGTGCGCAGGGAGCCCTGACAGCCATGCTTTCTGCCCTTCCTAAGGGGCAGCTGTGGGGCAAACAGAACAAACCCCATCAGGCTTCCAAGCCCCGTTCTCAAGCACCTCTTCATCGCGGACGCTCCACATTCTTTCCTCTCCCCCGCTCCCGCCCCCATTCTTTACTGTCCCCCCTTCTCTGGAGCAGGTGGTAGGCTTTGAACTCACGCGCAGGGGTGCGCCGCAGTGGGGCAGGGCGGGCGCAGGCTTGCTTTTGGGCCAAGGTGGGAGCAGGAGTCATCGCCTCTGAAGTGCAAAGGCTGCCCGGGTGAGGCCCGGCGCCCGGAGCTTCTCTGAATCCCACCAGTCAGTTGGGTACCCTGCAGTGTGGCACCCCTCCACTGAGGTGGCACCGCCCCTCAACCCCCGCCTCAGGCTGCGGGTCCGCGCCCCTCCGCCCAGGCGTCCTTCCATACCCCTTGTTCCCCGCCGGGCCGACCCACGTCTTGGGGCCACTGCAGAACCTAGCTCTCCGCAGGTGAGGCAGATCCCAGCCTGCTGCCCCCTGCCCTGGCCTGAGCCCCCTCCGGTGCACCCCACCTCGCCAGGTTTTTGCCTTTGATCTATGGCATTGGTGACAGCACACTCCTAGCAAGCCTGGTACCCAGAGGGGCACAGGGTCAGTTCTTTGCCCAGAATGTTAGAGGTTGCAGTTGCATTTGCAGATGTTGCCCAGAGCCTGCTGGTGAAGGCAGCGCCTGTGTGGAGTGTCCTAATAGAGAGCCGGTGCGGCACCGCTCTGCGCCCCTTGGGCCGCCGCCTCCTGGCCGGCCATTTCGCCAAAGCCTCCGCGCTCGCCCAGGAGTAGCCCCTCAGGCGGCACTACAGTTGGCCTCCCACTGCTGCTAGGTCTCCACCCTCACCTGGGTCACCTCCTTTCTTCCACATTCGGTCTTCATCCATCCCACTCTCCTGCAGTTTTTGTGCTCCAGGCTCGAAAGAAAAGGACCAAGGCCAAGAAGGACAAAGCCCAAAGGAAGTGAGTCTTGAACCCCCACATCCCATTCTCTGGATTTCCTCCTGCACCTTCCTCTGTGTCACATCTTGAACAGGCACCCTGCAGCCCAGCCACATGGCCTCCTGGCGGCCTAGTAGAGTCGGTCTCTGCGAAGCTGTGGATCTGTGGCCAGAGGCCCCGCCTGGGTCTCAGGAACCCCATGCCTGCTGGAAAGGGCTGTGGAGGAGGACCGGAGCTCATCAGTCATTAGCTCCCCAACTCCAAAGGAGGCACCACAGACTCACATCCTGGCAGCAGGCCCCACTCCCCTCTCCCGCCTGCCCACCTCCTGCCAAGCGGTCGTGACATTACAGAGTCCCGGCCTAATTTGCATATTCCTCTCTTATTCTATAGGACTAGAGGCCCGGTGCACAAAAATTTGTGCACTGGCGGAGGGGGAGTGTCCCTCAGCTCCACTTGTGCCCTCTCACAGTCTGGGACCCCTCAGGAGATAACGACCTGCTGGCTTAGGCCCTCTCCCGGGTGGCAGAGGGCAGGCCCAATCCCTAGGTGCAGCCCCTGGTCAGGCTCAGAGCAGGGCCGATTGGGGAGTTGGGGTGCTGCCCCCTGCCATGCACAGAGCAGGGCGGATCGGGAGGTTGCGATGCCACCCCCAGTCACGTTCAGGGTAGGGCCGATTGGGGGGTTGGGGCACCGCCCCCTGTCACACTTAAGGCAGGGTCGATGGGGAGGTTGCAGCGCCACCCCCTGTCATGCACAGAGCAGGGCCGATCAGGGGGTTGGCGATCAGGGGGTTGGGGCGCGGCCCCCTGTCACACACAGAGCAGGGCCCATCAGGGGGGTTGGGGCTCCGTACCCTGTCACACACAGAGCAGGGCCCATCAGGGGGGTTGGGGCTCCGTACCCTGTCACACACAGAGCAGGGCCCATCAGGGGGGTTGGGGCTCCGTACCCTGTCACACACAGAGCAGGGCCCATCAGGGGGGTTGGGGCTCCGTACCCTGTCACACACAGAGCAGGGCCCATCAGGGGGGTTGGGGCTCCGTACCCTGTCACACACAGAGCAGGGCCCATCAGGGGGGTTGGGGCTCCGTACCCTGTCACACACAGAGCAGGGCCCATCAGGGGGGTTGGGGCTCCGTACCCTGTCACACACAGAGCAGGGCCAATCAGGGGGTTGGGGCACCTTCCCCTGTCACGAACAGAGCAGGGCAGATAGGGAGGTTGTGGCCCCACCCCCTATCACACACAGAGCTGCAGGGCGATCAGGGGGTTTGGGTGCTGCCCCCTGTCACGCTGCTCCAGGGGCCAGGAGACCTCGCGTGCTAGGAGGCCTTGCAGCTCCGCTGATCCAAGTGCCGGGAGGCCTCGCTGCTCAGCTGATCCCGGTGTTAGGAGGCCTCGCTGCTCTGCTGATCCCGGTGCCGGGAGGCCTCGTGGCTCCGCTGATCCTGGGTTTGGGAGGCCTCACGGCTCTGCTGATCCCGATGCTGGGAGGCATATTACCCTTTTACTATATAGGATAGAGGCCTGGTGCACAGGTGGGGGCCGGCTGGTTTGCCCTGAAGGGTGTCCCGGATCAAGGTGGGGTCCCGCTTGGGTGCCTGGCCAGCCTGGATGAGGGGATGATGGCTGTTTGCAGCTGGTCATACCCCCTTCAGGGTGGGGGTCCTCACTGGGGTGCCTGGCCAGTCTGGGTGAGGGGCTGAGGGCTGTTTTCAGTCTGGCGGGTGACTGAAGCTCCCAACCTCTCCTTTTTTTTCTTTTTTTCTTTTATTCTGGGGTTTATTTACCTTCTATGGCTGTCACTGGAGCTGAGAGCCGGCTTTAGCTCTGAGGCTCTGCTCCAGCTCTGAGACCTCAGCTGCTGAAAGCAGGTATCTGGTTTGTTTGGCTCCTATAATTGAAACACTGTTGCAACTCCAGCTCGGCCGGCTGGCTGAAAGCATGGGGTTTGTTTAGCTTCTGTTATTGCAACATAGTTGCTTAGAGTGCAAGCTCAGAGCCCAGCAGCCGTAGGCAGGGAACCTTGGCTTCCTCCTTCACTGGAGCAAGCAAGCCTCCTGTTTGCTTCAGCTGCCTGGCTGCTGGCCGCCATCTTGGTTTGCAGTTAATTTGCATATCGCCCTGATTAGCCAATGGGAAGCATGTCGGAGGTACGGTTAATTACCATGTTTGTCTATTATTAGATAGGATAATATTATTGTCTATATTCATTATACTGTACTTGGATCTCTATGACTTATTTACTACTCATTGCAAGTTTATTCTCTTAAACACCATCACTCTTATCTTCTTCCCCCAACCCAATGAATAGTAAGTAAGCCAAGCAATATACTAGATGCAGAGTTCAAAACACTGGAGATAAGGATGCTCAATGAACTGAGTAAGAACCTCGACAGCATAAAAAATGACCCATCAGAAATGAAGCATACACTAACTTAAATGAAGAATAATTTACAAGGAATCAACAGAAGAGTAGATGAAGCTGAGAATCAAATCAGCAATTTTGAATATAAGGAAGCAAAAAACACCTGATCAGAACAGGAAAAAAAGAAAAAAGAATCCAAAATATGAAGATAGTATAAGGAGCCTCTGGGACAACTTCAAGTAGACCAACAATCACATCATGGGGTGCCAGAAGTAGAAGAGGGAGAGCAAGAAATTGAAAACGTATGTGAAAAAATAATGACAGAAAACTTCCCTAATCTGGTGAAAGAAATAGGCATACAAGTCCAGAAAGTGCAGAGAGTCCCAAACAAGATGAACCCAAAGAGGTCCACACCAAGACACATCATAATGCAAATGCAAAAGGTTAAAGACAAAGAGAAAATCCTAAAAGCAGCAAGAGAAAAGCAGTTAGTTATCTACAAGGGAGCTTTTATAAGAATGTCAGCTGATTTCTCAATAGAAACTTTGCAGGATAGAAGTCATTGGCACAAAATATTCAAAGTGATAAAAAGCATGGACCTACAACCAAGATAACTCTACCCAGCAAAGCTGTCATTTAAAATGGAAGGATAGACAAAGAACTCCCCAGACAAGAAAAAGCTAAAAGAGTTCATCACCACCAAACCAGTATTATATGAAATGTTAAAAGGTCTTCTTTAAGTAGAAGAGGGAAAAAAAGTTAAAAAAATATAAACAATAAAATGTCAATAAATACACATCTATAAACAATTTAATCTAAAAAGTGAAATAGATGAACAAGCAGAACAGAAACAGACTCATAAATATAGAGAACATTTTGATGGTTGCCAGATTGGAGGGGTATTGGGGAGATGGGTAAAAAAGATGAAGGGGTTAATAAGTACAAATTGGTTGTTATAGAATAGTCTTGGGGATGTAAAGTATAGCACGGGGAATATAGTCAATAATATTCTCATAACTATGCATAATATCAGATGGGTGTGAATATGTGTTTGTCCTGTTTGTTCTATTAATTTTTCAGTTCCTTAAAGGTCCCGCTATTGAAGTGGCTTTGAATAATTTCTTAAGTCCTGATAATTACATCACCAAAGAACCTAAATCCTGGAAATAAATAAGCTCAGGCAATATTCTTAGGGTCTATTCTATAAAATGATCCACTCTATAAAACCAAGTGGTTCATCAAAAATATGATAATATTTTGGAGTATAAACTTTACCACTACAGATATGAAATGAACATAAATAAAAATCAGCAAATACTGTTGGCAGAAAATGGTACACCATGCTTGCATGGAGATTAAGTAAGATTGAATATTCGGAAATTCTAATGGAAAAAAAAGTGGTCCTACCAAGACCACTTTTCCCTCCCCACTGATGTTCTACCCTTAGTAGAGAAATACTGCCTTAGTAAAGATTCTGAATAACTACCAACTACTATGCCTTCTATATACAATTCCAAGCAGAATGAGCCCTTGGTGAATATTGGTGTCTTACTGGAAAATTCACTAGTTCATTCAACAACCATTTATTCAGAAACTACTCCTCCCCCCACCCCCCCAAAAGCTCATAGATCTATAGGGGATTCAAGCATATAAAGAAATTATTACAACACAATAAAATACATTTTAAAAATAGAGTCATGTGCAAGATATATAATGGTGATACCAAGATAAAGAAGAAAACGTGGTGGAGGAGAGGATGATAGGTATCAGAAAGGCACGAAAAGTGTTTGAATTGAGTCAGTGAGTTCCAGGTAGACAAGGAATAAGGTAGGTAATTTCAAGCAGAGGGTGTTGCCTGTGTAAAAACTCATAAATATGAAATAGGGTAACCTGTTCAGGAACAGAAAATTGCATGGGATTATTAGGACATAAACTGCAGGGGAAAAAAGGAATTGAAGATTAAGCTGGAGGGATAGGCAAGGATAAGAATATGAAGGAAGTTAGAGCTTTATTGGACAGAATAGGGAGTCAATGAACAGTTGTAAGGAGGGGAGTTCCACAATAAATATAATTGAACTCCAACTTCTTCCAATTGATTTTCACAATATTAAAAAGTAATAAAGCATATGATATTTTTTATTTATCTAAAGTGGTCATCTGTAGTGAGCATATATTGTTTACATTTGCCCAGCATCCATTCTTTCTTTAATTTTTTTTTGTAATAGCACTTTGATTTTCTTTTGGGGGTGGAGGCTTAATCTTTTCACAATGTCTACAATCTCCTACAACTATCCAATAAGTTATCCTACTCTCCTTAGCTGAAAGTTGAACAAGAGATCTGAGCAAGGTTCCTTCAATTCCTCCAGGAATTTAAATTTTGTAACAAACGAGTGACTCAAGGATGGGAAAAGATTATAGCTGATCCACTTGGTGTCAGCACCCTGCCATGGTCAGCAAACTGCGGCTCGCGAGCCACATGCGGCTCTTTGGCCCCTTGAGTGTGGCTCTTCCACAAAATACCACGTGCGGGCGTGCATGTACAGTGCAATTGAAACTTCGTGGCCCATGCGCAGAAGTTGGTATTTTGTGGAAGAGCCAGTATTTTGTGGAAGAGCCACACTCAAGGGGCCAAAGAGCCGCATGTGGCTCGCGAGCCGTGGTTTGCCGAGCCACAGTTTACCGACCACTGCCCTAGAGGAAGCCCTACTTCCTGTTACTCAGGTCACCAAAATGACCAGAATTACCTTAGTCTTTTCCTTTTTGAAGCTAGGTGCTCCCAGATTACTTTTGATTCCTTGAATTTTCCCATAACCTTCCAATAAATTCCATTTTGCTGAGGTAATACAGTCTCAAACCAGGTTTGGTTTGCTTCCAAGCTAAGAACCATAATTTATACATCACCTATGGGCAAGACCTTTACCTACTGGAATTAGCTGGAAATTTTGTACTAAGGTTGTTGCACTTTACCAGTCCAGCAGCTTTTTACTGTCTGGGTCTTGATGCTGCATTAGTATGCCGGCAAGAGGTGGGCTCAGGTTTGCTTTGCTCTCAGAACCTGCAGTCCTTCCTCTCTCTCCTCCTCTTCTCCCCTCAGCCACTACCCTGGAACAGAGGGAATCTCAACTAGTGAAAGTCTTCTTCCCCTTATATTTCTGACCAAGACACTTTTTTTATGTTTAACATCGATGCTTTCACACCTTTCACAAAACCACTATGTTCTCCTAAGGTTCAGGAAGAGTCATAAGGGACTTGTAGGCCTCTTCTGCTTTCTACCTCGCCCCAAAGCTACTCAGAGGCAATAAACACATAATTTTTTAAGTGCTTGAATTGGGAAGCAGGTTGGAGGCAGAAGAAAACTGAAAAAACACAAAAGAGGAAGGTAAAAGAAGTTAGTACTTCAAAATACTTCAGTAGTTTAAAAATAAAAATACTTTTCAAGATACCTATTATTATTATTATTATTATTATTATTATTTACTAGAGGCTCAGTGCATTAAATTTGTGCATGGGGGGTGGGAGGGAGGGTCCCTCAGCCCTACCTGCACCCTCTCCAATCCAGGAGCCCTCAGGGGATGTCCTACTGATGGCTTAGGCCTGCTCCCCATGGTTCTCTGCTCTCTGCGGGGCCTGACTCCAGCGGGGCTGAGAGGACTGGGCGCCGCCATCTTGTGGCTATGGGCGCTGCCATCTTTGTGTTGGAGTGATGGTTAATTTGCATATTACTCTTTTATTAGATAGGATTGTATTTTTATTTGTATATTTTGTGTTATTTTATATATTACTCACGGATGGAAAGCGTACATTTATTACTAGATATATTGGGTTGTTTCTCTGGGTAGATAGAGGCTCTTCTTAGTCACTGTAATGACAGCAATGTTTATGCCTGTGTCCAAAGATGAACAATCTTTTAAAAAAAATTTACCTTTATTATTGAAAGTATTACAAATACCCCCCTTTTTTCCCTATTGATCCTCCCTCTACCCGGCCCTCCCCAGGGCTTCACCACACTATTGTCTGTGTCCATGGGTTATGTATATATGCTCTTTGGTTAATCTCTCCTGCCCCCACCCCAGCCAGTCTATCCTATTCACTGTCTTGTGGGTCATCCACAAGATATTGTCCTTAGTAATCTTTTTCATGCATATTTTCTGACCTCTGGCATTCAAAGGTTTCCTGTATGTTTTTATGTAATATCAAAGCCAGGAGGTGGAATGTATGGGGGGGTGCAATAAATGACTGGGAATGTGTTAATATGTTTCATAACTGGAATTTATAATGGTGGACTTTTCTTCTTAAGTCTCCATCTCTGCCACATTTTGAAATAATTTTTACCAGGTCATACAGATATTTTCATAGAACCAGGGCTCAAGGGAGATAAATGATTCCTCCTCTAATCCTGATCACACTCTCATTCTCCCTTCTCATTTCATTCTTTTTCCTTTTTTATACAGAAACTTGGAATTTTGCAGTACAGAGAAAAAGGAGTAAAAGAGGAAGAGAAAAAGCAACAAAAGAAGAAAAAGCCATTACCAGTATGTGGAATCTAATGAACAAAATGGAACCAGAAACATGGACACATGGAACAGACTGGCTGGTGCCCAAGTGGAGGGGGATGTTACTAAATAAAGAAGGTGAAGGGATTAGCTAAAGAACATATAATATATGTCATATATGCATACCCCATGGACATGGACAGTAGTGTGGGAAAGGCCAGGGGAGGGGGAGGCAGGAGTGGGTGGAGGTGGGCAAAGAGAGCAGGTGGAAAGGGGAACACCTGCAATAAGGCCAACATTAAAAATGTTTTATAATAAAAAGGAAGAAAATTCTAGTAAAGGAAGCTGAAGAGAAAGAGGAAAATTTGAAAAAGGAGGAACTAATGCTCATAAAATATTTTTAAAATATTCAAAAGCAAATGACTAGAACTAGTCAGCACAAAAGTGTCACTTATCCCTCAGTCTCTCTTTTTAAAATATATATTTTATTGATTTTTTTTTACAGAGAGGAAGGGAGAGGGATAGAGAGTTAGAAACATCGATCAGCTGCCTCCTGCACACACCCTACTGGGGATGTGCCTGAAACCCAGGTACGTGCCCTTGACCGGAATCAAACCTGGGACCCTTGAGTCTGCAGGCTGATGCTCTATCCACTGAGCCAAACCAGTTAGGGCCATCCTCTCTTTTTATATCTGCATCCCCACTACCATCCATCTCTCCCTCTTCCAGCCTTTCTTATCAGGACATTTTACAAAAGTCTTAATAGTTTTGGGCATGTTTTTTTTCAATATACATATTAGAGCTATTGCTTGTCATTACATGGGTGCCTCTAATTATTATTATTATTTTTTAAAAATATTTTTATTGATTTAAGAGAGAGGAAGGGAGAGGGAGAGAAAGAGATGGAAACAGTGATGAGAGAGAATCATTGACTGGCTGCCTCCTGCACGCCCCCTACTGGGGATCGAGTCCACAACCACAGGCATATGCCCTGAGTGGGAATAAAACCATGACCTGGTTTGTTTCTCGATGCTCCACCACTGAGCGACACGGGCCAGGCAAGGGGGCCTCTAATTAAAAAGAGAACTGCTTCTAACTGCTTTATTAGTAGTAGTTGTCAAGTCAGCCTTCTTGCAAGAGACTACCTGAGAGGACAATCCAAGAAGGAATCAAGGCTGAATCCACCTCTTACTACTGTCCTCAGGATGGAGGTAAGCTTCTGCCCTGGACCTCATAAAGTCATATTTTATTTTGTTCTGTGTTTCTATTTTAATGATCTTTACCTGCATATTGTTGGTATTATTTAAAAACTTCTGTTTAGCTTCAGCTATTTTCTTGGATATGAATGTAGTTTATGATAATACAAATGATACTTTTCTTAAGAGAGATGGCAAACAAAGCTTAGTTCATTTCTTTTATTATAGGTTTGCCTTCTAAGGAGAGGCCGCACTGAGATGAAGGTAGCATTATTTAGGCTAGCAAATGTCATTTGCTTGTGGTGTTCTGGTATTTCTTTCTTTCTTTTTTTAACTTCCCGGTATAATAATAAATCTTTTTCCTTTCATCCCGTCAGCTTAGAAGAGGAGAGTGAGAGGTGGCTTCCTCCAATGATGGGACCTCTTTCTTTGGAAAATTGTTTTAATAATTACCCAGGCTTTGATGTCTGTGTTTCCATATGTGTTGCCATTCCTTGATGCTAGAAGTGATTTCCCTCATAACCTCTTATCCTCATAACTTTACTTCCCGGAGGCAAAGGACATGCTCTGAGCCTGACAGCATTATGAAACTCCTGGGCTTGTCTGGCCCATCCCTCCAGAGTGCACCACCTAGGACAGGACCTTATGAAAATGAAGTTGCCACTGACTGGAAGTCAGTAGTGATCTGCTGGGTTCAGATGAACTCAAACAAGCATGGAACCCCGAAGGCCAGGCTGTGGAAGGTCATCTCTGAACCTCCTTGAAGTAAGTTTTCAGACAGATTATTACTTATTTAGTGTTGGTTTCTGAGGCGCCACTTCATTGGGTTTTTAAAAGTTTGATGCTCGGCATAGAAGCACGAGGTCTCTGAGGACCTCGCTGAATGAGGGTGATCATTGGCAGACTCTCCATTTTATTTTTTTCTCTTTGAGCATAGAAGCACGAGGTCTCTAAGTTGAGGACCTCGCTGAATGAGGGTCATCATTGGCAGACTCTCCATTTTATTTTTTTCTCTTTGCAAAAGTGTCTTTTTCCTTTGTTGATATTTTACACAAAGTGTTTGGTAGAAACCCTTCCAAGAAATTACTTCCCAAAAAGAAAAAACAGAGTTGAAGGGCAATGAAGATGAAACTCAAGGACAAATTTATAAAATATATACATTCTAGTTTAGGTTTTAAATGGCTCACATCTCATCTTTATACTGTAATTTGTCTGATTCTCACATATTACCCCAAATATTATTTATCATTCATTCAACAAACATTTATTAAATTGGGCAGTTTGAAAATAAAGAGGGAGAGATTTCAACCAGAATATGAGCTCCATGAGCATGGGATTTTAGTCTGTTTCACTCACTCTTGTATCTCTAGCACTCAGAACAGTGCCTGGCACATAGGAGACAATAAATATTTGTAGATGAATGAATGAATATTAGCGTGATTTAAAAAATCATTTTAGAGTAAGAGATATAATAAGTATGTTGGACCTGGAATTGTGACTATCATAAAGCCTATCATTCAGAAAAGGAAGACTTGAAGCACACAGTGTCAGAGGAGGTACGCTACTCTATGTTCAGAGTGGGCAACTAACTATTTAGTGTTTCAGATTGTTTTTGCCTCAAAAGAGGCATGTGGTTAAGTTCATCTTTTTATTTTCACTCTTGTTTAGAAGGTAAGAGGACTATGACATCTAAAATCAATGAGTTGGTTTCATTTATTAGTCTTTTCTTTGTTTGCTTAGTGTCTATCTTTAAGGAATTCCAAGGTGTACACCAGGTGGTTGTATTAAACCTCACAGCTCAGCCCAGAGGTTGTGAGCAGAGCCCGCCCTTGGGTGGGCAGTGTGTGCTTCTGCACACAGCTCCTCAGGCAGTGCAATCTGATCTCACTGGAGTGTTCATTTTTAAATATAGTTGTTTGCTATTTCTCCATTTCTGTAGCCTTCTTAGGGCCAGCAGTAAAGAGAGGGGTAATTAGATAGGGACCTGGGGTTTTGACAAAGGACTTACTTGATTGCTCCCCTCTGTCACCCACTTTCTTTCCTGCCTACGTAGCTCAGAATGCCCATTTCTCTTCTTTGCTCCTCCAGCAGCAAAGTAAAAGTGGGAACCGAATTCAGACTCGGCCAAGGGCACTCCCCGACTAGGAGGGCACCATCACCTCCCTTTTGTAGTCTTGGGAGCTGAGAATTTGGAGTGACTTTTCGGAAGTTACGCTGTGTCTGCTGTGGTGAGAGCAGCAATTCTGTCTGAGGCTTTAGCCATAATGCTGTGCTATAAAAAGCACATTAACACAGTCTTAATATTTTTATGTTGCAGCAGTTGGAGTGTTATGGAATTTCATTTTATAAGGACCTTCAGTCCAACACATAAATCTCTCTCAGGTCAGTGAGGCTTCATGTACATGTGTGTATAATTCACTCTGAGTTCATCCAAGGCAAACATTTCTAAGCCAGACGATTAAAAAAACACACGGTGGTGTCCAGGGACATGCACAAGATTGACAGTCAGGATCTCAGTTCTAGATCAGACTTTTGTTGCTAACCAGCTCTTTATCCAGAATGAGTCAAGACCCTGTGCTCATTTTCTTGGTTTATACACTAAGGGAATTTGCATGAAATGAACTGCAGCGGCACTGTTAGCTGTAATGTCTATTGGGGCTCAAGGCCCTTTGTCCCTCTTTTCTACTGTTTCGAATAATGGACTCTAAAGCATTGGAAAGAAGCCTAGCATCCATTCAGTAAACATTAGTGAAGTCTGAGCTAAATTGATCTAGACAACCTACGTAGTTTATAGAGGAGGAAAATGAGTGAACACAGAAAAGTCAAGGTACTTGTCTAGGTCACAAACCAATTAATAGCATAAACATGAGATTTTAAAAATCAATCATAATTTTTTTCTCTCATAAAAATGTTCCTTACTATCTTTTGGTGGTGGGATGGGTGGGTGTGGAGGGGGGGAAGGGAGAGGATTGTAGAAGAAACAGAAGTTTTCACAAAAAGATGGAACTATTATTTTTGCTAAATTGGCAGTGCCTATTAGGATATTCCTTGTATATCTCTGCTCCACACTCCACTTTGCTGCTCTGGAATGAGTGTTGAACTCATCACGCTCTCAGAGCTGGCTCTTCCTGACTTCTCTATATCTTTGAACAATGTCACTATTCTCCAAGCTTTATTCATACTTCAAACTTTAGTCATCTTTGACTCCTCCCCTTTCCTCGATGCATTGAAGCAATTGCTAAACTCCATGAATTCAATCTTTGCAGTATGACTTACATTGGTATTATTTCATTCCTATTATTTCTTACTACATACATCACATCAAGTCATATTTTGAGAGCAGTGAAGAATACAGGTTTGGAGTCAGGCAGAATAAGGTTTGAGTCCTAGTTCTGCCACTTACTACCTATGTGTCATGGCTCAATCTCCCTGTACAATGGGGATCACAAGTATATTGGCCTTAAAGAGTTGTGAGAATTAATGTCAGAATGTATGTAAAATACTCAGGAGAGTGCTTAGCACATAACAGTAATCACAGTAGTCTCCCCTTGTTCTCTGTTTTGCTCTCTGCAGTTTTGCTTACTGGTGGTCAACTGTGTCCTGAAATATTAAAAGCAAAATTCCAGAAATGAACAATTCCTAAGTTTTAAATTGCTTGCCATTCTGGGAGCGTGATGAAAGCTTGCGCTGTTCTGCGCTGTCCCACCTGGGTTGTGACTCATCCCTTTGTGCAATGTATCCACACTGCATTCACCCCATTAGTCACTTAGTAGCCCTCTTGGTTTTCAGATCGACTGTTTCAGTATCACAGTGCTTGTG